CATTTAACAGCCTGTCAGTTTTTTGATGTGAAGCTAATGAATGCAGTGGCAAACAAATCCATCAAACCTCACATCAAAACAACTGCACTTCATCCCACCAAAGGGAAAAATACAACCTGCGGGCCAGCACTTTGATCTAACCTATCCATAGAAAACATGTTGCTAAGCAGCCACCGCTGAAGAATTCGTGAGTAATTATGGACTTAATTTTATGAAAGAGAGCTAATACACTTAAGTAGCCTGAGTTTCAAGTAGAAAAGGTTGATAGACTTCTCTCCTCAGGTTCCACAGATCAGCTTAACAACAAAAAGCTTTCCAGCACCAAAATCTGAAAACAAATCACGTCTTAAAAGGCACTGCAACACAAAAGAATCATTATAACGACTAGTAAAATCACCTGGTATGACTCTATCCCTGATAGAAGGCAGCAAAATTTACATACATCTATACTGGGTGAAAGTCACCAAGTGGTGCCACAAAACAGACACAGCGAGCAACGAGCGCACTATTCAGGAACAGCAGAGCCTTCTCTGAAAGCTCTTGGGACAACGGGTATCGATTTGGCCATCGGTGATGGGGAGTCTGGAGAGACCATAATGCACGGATTTGGAAAAGCAACAGATGGGGGAGTGCGGGGATTTAAACAGTAACAAGAGGAAAACAGAAGGAAAGTAACTGCAGTAATCACCGCATGAAGAAGAATTAGAGAGCCCTGACTGAACCTGCTCACACCACCAATCACGGAACCATAGAACAGTTTGGGTTAAAAGGGACCTCAAAGATCATCCAGGGACGCCCTCCACTACACCAGGTTGCCCAAAACCTCATCCAACCTGGCCTTGAACACTGCCAGGGATGGGGCAGCCACAGCTTCTCTGGGCAACCTGTGCCAGTGCCTCACCACCCTCTGAAAGAAGAATTTCTTCCTTAGATCCCATCGAAATCTCCTCTCTTTCAGTTTAAAGCCATTGCCCCTTGTCCTATCACTACACGCCCTTATAAAAAGCCCCTCTCCAGCTTTCCTGTAGCCCCTTTAGGTACTGGAAAGCTGCAACAGGATCACCCCGGAGCCTTCTCTTCTCCAGGCTGAACAGCCCCAACTCTCTCAGCCTGTCTCCAGAGCAGAGGTGCTCCAGCCCTCGGATCATCTCCGTGGCCTCCTCTGGACTCGTTCCAGCAGCTCCATGTCCTTCTTCTGTTGGGAACTCCAGAGCTGAACGTGGTATTCCAGATGGGGTCTCAGGAGAGCAGAGCAGAGGGGCAGAATCCCCTCCCTCGCCCTGCTGCCCACGCTGCTCTGGGTGCAGCCCAGGACACGGTTGGCTTTCTGGGCTGCCAGCACACGGTGCCGGCTCATGGTGAGCTTCTCATCCACCAGCACTCCCAGGGCTGCTCCCAATCCATTCTCCATCCAGCCTGTACTTGTGCTTGGGATTGCCCCGACCTACGTGCAGGACCTTGCACTTGGCCTTGTTGAACTTCATCAGGTTCTCACAGGCCCACCTCCCCAGCCCGTCCAGGTCCCTCTGGATGGCATCCCTTCCCTCCAGCGTGTCCACAACACCACACAGCTTGGTGTCATCTGCAAACTTGCTGAGGGTGCACTCGATCCCACTGTCCATGTCACCAACAAAGATGTTAAATAGCACTGGCATAATATTCCCTAAGACCATTTGTCTGGAGGTACATATCTGTTTGATCCATCCATTCTTCAGTTGTCCCTTACTCTCAGAACCAGCTCTAATTCAGTACTCCAGCAGCAGTGAAGTCCATCTGTTTTTCAGTGCTAGTCACAGTAAAGTTCCTGATAAAGACAGTATCAAATGCTTTGGATAAGTCCAGGTAGATGATGTCAGTTGCTCTTCCCCTATCCATCAATGATGTAATCCCATCGAGGAGGCCACCAAATTAGTCAGGCAGGATTTGCCCTTAGTGAAGCCGTGTTGGCTGTCACCAATCACCTCCTTATTTTCCATGTGCCTTAGCATAGTGGCCAGGAGGATCTGCTCCATGATCTTGCCGGGCACAGAGGTGAGACTGACTGGCCTACAGTTCCCTGGGTCTTCTTTTTTTCCCTTTTTTAAAGATGGGGGCTGTGTTTGCCCTTTTCCACTCAGTGGGAACTTCACCAGATTGCCACAACTTCTGAAATATGATGGATAGTGGCTTAGCAACTTCATCTGCCAGTTCCCTCAGGACCCGTGGATGCACCTCGTCTGGTCCCATGGACTTGTCCACCTTCAGGTTCTTTAGACGGTCTCAAACCTGATCTTCTCCTACAGTGGGCGGTTCTTCATTCTCCCAGTCCCTGCCTTTGCCTTCTGTGACTTGGGCCATGCCGCTGGAGCTCTTGCCAGTGAAGACTGAGGCAAAGAAGTCATTGAGAACCTCAGCCTTGTCCATATCCCGGGTAGCCAGGTCCCCCGTCTCCTTTCATCTCAATCCAATTCCCCGTTCTGTTCACTACTTTCTCATATCAAGCTTAGGTGGGACCATGCAGTCCAGAAGCTCTACACAAGGTCAAAGGATGTACCATTTAGGGGGATTTCCTGTAATCAGGAACCAATCTGCAAACATCTAAGTTTTTCAAACATTTACAAAATGGCAGCAAGGGAAAAAATGAATTCCAATAAAGGAAAAAAAAAAAATAAATTGCCTGTACACAAAAGCACAGGATCTTATTCAAAATTTAAAACTGTTTCTGGTTCTCAGCATCAAATGAGCACGCATGAAGTTCACTAATCCTATCCACTGGAGCTAAAATTTGGACAGTTGAAAATAAACGACTGACAATCCGAGTTTTGGCACCTGTGAGTGAGATGTCTTACGCTGTAACAATCCTTGTATGAGGGCAACATTGGCATTTGTTAGAAATAACAATTACAACAGACAAAAATATAAAATTAAAAAACATAAGTAATCCACAGATTTGGGGGTGGGGGCAGAGAGTGTCCTGCCCTGCAGTTAACAAACATTAGGATACAAGATTTTTCTCAGATCAGAGAAGTTTTTATCCAATTGCTTCAGAAGAACTTTTATTTTATTAGAGACATAAAAGAATTACGTGTAAATATTTTTATTTACTAATTCTAATAACTGAGCATCACCCCTTGCTCAGCACACAAGTTATCCACTCAGCACAAATCAAAGCAGATGCCTACAAAGCATACAAGCTAATTGCCACTGGCTCATCTGCTTTACCAACAGCAACAAAACGCACTGGAGTAAGGAAACTAAAAATGCGCTTCATGAAACTACGCATTTCCAGCCTAGTCAAGTAAAAGCAGCTCCATTAGGAAAATGACAAAATTCACAGATGCCTGAAGATATATCCTATATGCCCCTATTTTTACACCTTTTTTTTTCAAAAATAAATAGCATTCAGCAAACAAAAGTTATAGGATGATGATGATGATAAAGAATATCTCAAGCTTAGAGTGCCTCTCATCCTCATAAAACACCGCGAACATGACTGAAGTACTTGCGAGCTCAGCACTACCCACCGTTGGTTCTCCAAGTCCTGCCATTCTTGTACATCAGCACTTCACCAGCATCCCTCTGCACCACACCCATTTGCCAAGCACCTTCAGGAGATCGTGACTGGTTTGTTGCTTTCACCAGTATCTCCTGTTTCTCTTCCTGTGTGTTCTTGCCAGTGCAAAAAGACGGCAAGAACCACACTCTCTCTCCCCTGGAGTTGTGGGACTTTTAGTACAACTGTTTGGGTTTTTCTTAATCTGCTTTTTACTTCTGCTTCATTCTGTCCAACCCAACTCCACCCAAAAGTGAGAACACAGCTCAAAGCAGCAACTGAACTGTAGCACAGAGCACACTGGAGATGCTGCCTGGTACCACTTTCCGTAGGTCGCTCTTTTAATGAAAGTCTTACACAAACTCCAGCAGACAAGCCGAAGGGCACATCCTGGCTCCTGGGTTCATAGATTTCATAGATTTCTAGGTTGGAAAAGACCTTAGAGATCATCGAGTCCAACCATCCCTAATCCCCCATTAAATCATATCCCTAAGCAGTTCATCCACCCTTTTCTTAAACACATCCAGGGATGGGGACTCAACCACCTCCCTGGGCAGCTTATTCCAGTGGCTGACAACCCTTTCAGAGAAGAAATACTTCCTAACATCCAACCTGAATCTCCCCTGACTAAGCTTATGCCCATTTCCTCTTGTTCTATCTCCCATCACTAATGTAAAGAGCCCTTCCCCCACCTCCCCACCATCCCTTCTCAAGTATTTGTAGGCTGTAATCAGGTCTCCCCTCAGCCTCCTCTTCAGCTGCTATAGGTAGGCAGAGGACACACAGTGAAACCAAGATGACAAGTTTAGCATTTGTAAAGACAGAAAATAATTTTTGGAATTTGCATCCATAGTCTCTGCTTAAGCAAAGTTTCAAATGCTGAGGGTTTAAATGATCTCGATTTGAAATTGACTTCACAGAATCTTTAGCACCATCTCGTTTCATGCCGGAACGCAGTATCATCACACAGCCTAAATATTTATTACAGCTTTAATGGAAATCTTTGTCTGTTTTTTTTTTTTTAATTAATAAAGAATGAATATTGACAATACTTCAGGATTTTTTCTTTTTCTAAGACAGAAATCCAGCTGTAAGCAATTAGAAACCATTCTGTAAAAACAGAAGAGTGCCTCTACGAAGACAAATGATCAGTCACCAGTATACAATATTCTCTAAGGAGAATACAGCAATGAACTGACCTAGATATTGCTGCATTTTGCTGATGCAGGCAATTTCAGCAGTACAATGCAGGGGAACTAGGTGATCCAGATTTTTTTTTCAATTAAAATTCTTGTACATAGCACATACTGAAAGAGAAGATAAGTCAAACACAACATCAGTACTCTGAGGAATGACAAGTGGAAATGCAAGGTTGTGTGGTGATTTTCTTCCTTTTAAATGAAATTACCAGAGCTGCTACCCAAACTTACTAAAATATCAGTATTCTTTGGGCCTATAGACTTCTTACCTTTTTAATTAATACTTTCAGGAAGTTTCCTGAGGTTAGGATAAATCTAACCATAGCTATCCTCATGTTTTTCTAGAGAAACACCGTAATCACGAAACAGAGTACACAATTTGCAGTAACTCCATAACTTGTCTGTGCTTTCAAGGTGTCATACAATTACAATTTAAGAACAGATAACTAGTTATAATACTTTCTCTGTTTGAATTGTTTACCCTATTCATATGGCACAAAAAAATACAAGTAAGTATTATGCAGAATTATTTCACCACCTTGCCATCAGTTCTCTTCCTACACATTTCCATTAAAAAATACAAAATAATCCTACTATTAGCACTTCCTATCATGTTCTTTTTCATTTAAAACGGGGAGAAAAATAAACTTTCATTCTCATTCGTGTGGTTAGAAGCAATAAAAAATAAGCAAGTAACATTAAGCACTCTGACCACTTGCCAAAGAAACTGGATTTCACTTTCGACAATGCTGGGTAAGATTTCTCTTCAGAAGGAGACTAGTCATTATTGCTTCAGCTGTCACTTTGAAACTTTTAGACATTTAAATTCAACTGCAGACACCACAGAGTTACTTTAATTTCTTTTAATGCACAATACTGCTCCTATGTGCAATAACCACAGAATTCAGTGCCCTAAGATGAAAGTTTTTATCCATATGCTAGAGAATTGTGACTTAATAAAACTGCATTTAGAGTGTATATGCCAAGACTTCCTAGCTAAAACTTCAGAATTTCAGAAGCACTTTTGGAGGGGTGTAAAGGAATAAAATTTCACTCACTTTAAAATATTATCTTCTGAGTCCACTGAATTTAAAAATATTAAGTTTACAGTATAATACAATAACTGAGAGGCATGCTGGAGGCATAAAATATTTAATAGTTTGTACTGAGGCAGCTGCACACCAAATGGTAGACCATTTTTTTAAAACATAGTAAATATGAAGCCTGTACACTGAAAGGGATGTAGCTGCAGGCATCACTACCTCAGCTTTGCCACAAGCAAAGATGAAGTTTGCCATTCCTGAAGTTCAGCTGAACGAATTTTAGAGCTGCAGTATATTCATACCTTTTGAAATTCACAAAAGTTTTACCTGCCACAATTAACTCATGTCTACGCCCATATTTCTCTCAACTTTCTTTCACTGTACTATCTATAGAAATTCCAAACTATCAAATACATAGAATTTTTTTCTAATTAATTTTATAGTCAACATCTTATCCGTTGTCTACTAAACTCACTTTTCCATTAAAGGTAAAGACCACCTTGAAGACGTCAGATGCATATTGATGTTTTCAATACTTTGCATAAAGAGCTTATGGAAAAAAAATATTTATAAACTTTTTCCCTTTGAAGAATATTCAATGTCATTAACAATAATAATCAATAGTGCCTAGAATCATAAATTTCCACTATTTGAGAATGTCCAATCCCAAGTGTCTAATGAGAGTTCACTATCATTACTTAATTGTTAAATCTGCACATCTGATTCTGCTCTGTATTTCATGTCATCTTATTAGCTAATATATTAAGCAAATCGCTACTGAGAAGAGTTTTTTCAATAACAAACAAGTCAATGTAGAAAACGCCTCTGATTTAAACATTTTGGGAAGCATACTAACCAAAGGTTATATAAGCCGTAATTCTGGGGAAAAAAAAAAAAATAAATCACAGAATACTGAAAAACAGTAAGAAACTTCTGCTGAACAAATTGCATGTTTTCTTGATTTTGTGTATTTACTCACATGCTGTACTTGAAGTAAAAAATGCATGCCACATAACAAAATTTCAGTCTAAGGTATCTTCAGTAAAGCACATCTCGTTCTAAAATCTGAAAACATCTACTCAGTTCACAGTTCCTCTATTATCTGTACTACAAGCTATCCCATGACATTAAAGATAAGAAAAGTTGACCTTGTTTCTCTAAACTTTAAAGTTTAATTATTTATGTTTCTTTCCAGGTATCCAAATCGCTGGTTTAGATAAAGTGCTTTCACAAACAGCAGACCTTAGAGGAAGTTTAAGAGCAGAAGACAGTTGTCTTCACATATACTGATCTCAGAATATGTAGCTTCAACTTAAAAACATCCATAAATAGAACTGGTTTTGAAGAACAATATATTGCAAAACAAACTTAATACTGAGTGGAATACACATTGCTGGAAGTATAATACCCACTATAAAAAGGAAAACTATAAATAAAATTTCAATGGCAATATACGGTACTACCTGATCTAATAGTTTTCCCTTCCTCATCGGCTTCCATAGATTCTCACAAAGAAATAACCACAGGAAAAATTTCCTTACACATCAATTTTCTGCAGTACGACTTACCAACTTTGCTGCTTTTCCATAATCAATCCATCGGATGGTGGCAAAGTTTGTTGACTCAGCACAGTTAAAACCATGGTTAAATCCTGCATGGTATCCATATGGGAAAGTGATCATAAATTCTCCTGCCTCTTGTGTAACCTATAGCATAAAAACAAAACAAACAAAAAAACTCAAAGTGAATCACACTACAAAAGCAGTTCTGCTCCTGAAGCAATGAAAACTGTATTTGCCTTTGCAACCAGCTAGGAAGAAAGATTTTTTTTTTTTCGTCTTGCACACAGTTGCAATTTAATGCAAGCAGAAATAGCATAGTTGAGGCAATGTTTTCTACTATAAAATACATAGCTACATGTATTACTTTTCAAATTCAGAAAGTACTTTCAAAAAAAATCAAATCTTAGAGCAGAGGTTCACTGGTAATAAAACCTGGAAATACAGGGAGCTAAGAAAGACAGTGCAAAGAATATATCAATCTTCCTAGCTGAGAGGAAGCAGAAACAAGCTGGACCAAACCATTCCATGATTCTGTAACCAAAATACCCACGATTATTATCCCTAAACACTAGTACAAATTCATCGTTGAAGAAATTATTCTGTCCACCACCCAGAAGATGTTTCTCAAGAATGGCACCAGAACTTTCCTTGGAAAGACTGAGATCTTATTCTCACCCTTCTCTTTCATATTCACGCATTTCAAAAACTATGATTTGAAGACCTGTGACTGAGGGCCTGATCTGCCTTTTAAGTTACTTGCTATTGATGATCAAGCATCAAGTAGGAGAAACTCTAAGTTTCAGTCTTAGCAGCTAAAGAAAACAGTACTGTTCATCCCAAAGGAACAGACTGGATACATTTGGATGCCCTCAGGCAGCATCTTTAAATCCTTTTGGATAGGAAAGGAGGAAGACGAACTAATGACAATTGCCCTGCACCAGTTCTTCAGCCTTACAGCTAGTAACATCATGGGGATTCTGGCATTGGAGATGCCATGCAGAACGTCTCAATGTAAAGCCATTAAAACACCACTTCAGACATTACATTAAAACAAATTTTAATCTGCCCTGTCCACCCCCTCTTTAAGCATAATTTAAGAGAGCACAAGTACTCTGGTACAACTGATACTGAGAATTCCAAATACCTAAAGGACAGGGGGCCTGGAAAGAGGTCCTCAAAGAGGAAAAGTCTGACTACAGTTAAACTCTGACATTGCTTTAGAGAATTAGCAAGGGTAGTTGCTCTGTTCTCTACAAGTACAGTGAAAAGCAACCAAAAGAAAAGTGTGCTGAGGCCACTGACTCAACAAGAAATTATCAAAAGAAGAAAAAAAAAAACCCACAGCCTAATTCGTAGTAGTTATAAAAAATATCGGATATAAAAAACTTATAAATTAAAAAAAAAAAGTGGGGTAAGGCAAGGTAAACAAATCACTGGTCAGGATATTCTCTTTTAAGACAGAAATTTCATCTTCCTATACTTGGATGGACTGCGGCTCTCCTCTGGACACGAAGAAAAGGAGAGACAGCACTTTTTGCAGGTCACTAATATTCTCTCCACACAAAGACAGCTTTAATCTCTTAAAGTCAGACCACCAAAGACTGTATCAAGAACAGGCTAGTCAGAGACTAGAAATGGCACACAGTCTTCTGAACTATCTGACAAAAGCTAATCAATGAACTAGAAGATTCAGAAGTGAAAGAGTTAAAAGAGATTCCCCATACTCTGTTCGATGTGCCTTTTTACATGAAACACACCAGACAGCAGGCCAACTAAAAGCAAACAGATCTTACTAAATGAAGCAAATAATCTGAGCAATGAGTGATGACCGTTCAACAAGATGCACTCGCTGATTACAGGAAAGTAAGGAGACTTCTTGGAGATTACAGAGGCTGTTTTCATCGGGTGACAATGCTTTGCATAAGCCATACGGTAAGAAAAATCGGAAGGACGAATATGACTCTCTGAGAAAGTACACTTATGACTTGAAATCACAAAAAGGGGGAGTTAAATTTTAAACAATCGCCAAAACTAAAACTCACGACTCCGAACATTTTTCTTATTAACATGTCATGTCTTAAATCTCAGCTTTTTGGTGGCAATAGTAGTCTCACATTGCATTTCAGCTTTCAGAATCCTCCCTTTCCTCTCTTACAGTTCTACGAATTGTTCATGTGCTTTTTTTTGCTCAATGAAAAAACACACAGGGGTAGCACTTCAAGATGCATATTTCTGATTGTATTACCGGATGAAGGAAAGAGAGGAAAACAACAAAAACATACTTAGCTAACAAAGCTGAAGAATAAAACTGGATCTTACATTTTGCATTTGCACTTTGCAAGGTTAACTTTTTGTGGGTTCATATTTAGTATATACATGCAAATGCACACAGAGGTGCATATATTAGAACTGCTACTGCAGCACTCCAACAATCGCCGTGGGAATGTTTAAGAAAGATTATTTTCCATGCTTACAATTCTAAAATTCATCTCGATACACCCTCCCACTGCTGACAGTTTAGCAGGTGTTCTATTGCAACAAGCAGCAGTTCAGCTGCCACCTGGTAGGCGTAGGCTGACTTATCAGCATTCAGCACATTTCCACATCTATCACTTTGAGCCATGAGAGATCACAGCCTGGTTCTCTCTATTCACTTTCTCACTGAATCCCATTAATTACAATTACATTTGGGTACAGTCTGCTTCCTCCCAAGACCACGTGACAGAACCAAACTTAAATATTTAACTATTTCTAGCACTTTAAAAAAAATTTTTAGTTAGAATACAGGAATAATCAAGACACTTTAAATAAGAACATCAGCTCCCTTACACACCTCAAATGTGTGGTACTGAAAACAATATACTGGCATTCTGCAATATGCTACTTTAAACACCAACCACCGAAAATTATACTGTTCAGAGTAATGTTCTGTAAATCCAAACCCATAAATCTAGTTATAAAACCTTCCAGTTTGCAAGGTTTCATCTGACACTACATGATAAAGCACAGGGCTACGAAGGGAATCGGTATTTACCTATATATTACAAAAACTGAACTCAGCAGCTACATTTCCATATGATAATATATCATTCAGAAAACAAACTACTTCTTATAAGAGTAATTTATTCCAAAAAGCTTGCTTTCCAAAGCAGGCAGTATCATTCTGAACGCCTACATTTCTTCAATATTATACATAGGTTGATTTAAGCAGGAAAAGTGAAGTGACATTCCAAAACGCGTACAACAAATCAGTGTCTTCATCCCATCTCTGCTGGAAACAAGTGCTGGTAACACTGGGATGTTTCAGTTACTGCTGAGCGGTGCTCACACAGGGTCAGGGTCTTTTCTGCTTCTCACCCCACCAGCCGGGAGGCTGGGGGTGCACAAGACGTTGGGAGGGGACACAGGTGGGACAGCTGACCCCAGCTGACCAAAGGGGTATCCCAGATCATACGATGCCACGCTCGACAATAGCAGCTGGGGTAAGAAGGGAAGGGGAGATGCTCGCAGCGATGGCATTTGTCTGCCCAAGGCACCGGTACGCGTGATGGAGCCCGGCTCTCCCGGAGATGCCTGAACACCTGCCCGCCCGTGGGAAGCTGTGAATGGATTCCTTGTTTTGCTTCGATTGTTGGAGTGACTTTTGCTTTTAGCTGTCGTTATCTTAACCCATAAGTTTTCTCACTTCTGCTCTTCTGATTCTCTCCCCTACTCCACTGTAGGGCAGTAAGCGAGCAGTGGAGCTTAGCTGCTGGGGTTAAACCATGACAATACTACACGTGAAAACGTTCACTTAAATAGTATTTCTATGGGCTGTGTTTCACACTTTTCCAAAAATATCAACTAAAACAGATGGAAAGCACTGCATTATCCTACATTCTAGGCTGAGGAATGTGATAAAGATAAGGTTTCCAGTTCTGGGCCCCTCAGTTCAAGAAGGACAAGGAACTGCTGGAGAGAGTCCAGCGCAGGGCCACAAAGGTGATGGAGGGAGTGGAGCATCTCCCTTCTGAGGAAAGGCTGAGGGAGCTGGGGCTCTTTAGCTTGGAGAAGAGGGGACTGAGGGGGGCCCTCATTAATGTTTATAAATATGGAAAGGGTGACTGCCATGAGGATGGAGCCAGGCTCTTCTCAGTGGCATCCAATGACAGGACAAGGGGAAATGGATCTAAGCTGGAACATAGGAGGTTCCGCTTAAACATGAGGAAGAACTTCTTCCCAGTAAGGGGAACAGAGCACTGGAACAGGCTGCCCAGAGAGGGTGTGGAGTCTCCTTCTCTGGAGATGTTCCAAACCCACCTGGACGTGTTCTTGTGTGATCTGATCTAGGTGGTCCTGCTCTGGCAGGGGGACTGGACTAGATGATCCTTTGAGGTCCCTTCCCATCCCTGACATTCTGGGATTCTGTTGCACACACAAGTCCACATGGTATCAAGAAACACTGCACACACTAAAACAGAAACCACAATAAACAACAAGTGTGGCAAGGGCAGTTTTACAGGACTATGTTGCAGTGGGAAGAGAGTAAGAGAAAGTATGTATTACCTGGTTCTTCTGAACACTTTAAAACAGTCTGTGCAGTGGGAAATCAAGAATCATAACCCTTTAATGGCCAAAAGGCTTCTAAAAACTCAGTATAACAAACAGATGTTCATGAAGAGAACCTTCTGAATCAAACTCTATCCGTCTGAGTAGGCTTACAAACCTCTTGAATTTAGAAATCTAGAATTTGCAAACCATTCAGGATATACAATAAAAATACTCTAAGAAAAAGCAATGCAGTACAAACGTTTTTATCAGTTGGCACCCATAGGAAGTTCAAAGTGGAAAATAATAAGGTAAAAAATCTTGTAAGAAAGGAGAAGAAACTGAATACTTCAGATGTTTTTGAAAGCAGCTATGTATTGAATTCATCAACAAAAAAGAAAGCCAGTTATTTTTCTCACTTCCTGTTTATATAATGTTCTTATCAAATGTCCAGTCTGCCACCACCTAGCAGTACAAATAATCATTCACTCTTTTTCTAATGTTACAGCTTTTAAAACATATCTTAAATTAAATAACAGTTCCTTTGGTTTTATTCCACCTGAAACTTTTTAGATGACAATACTGATAAAGTTACATTTTACTGCATCAGAAAAAACAATATACAGACACAAACAAATGAAACATTTATTTTAAAATATTAGTTATACAAATTAAATTAATATAGCTAGTTAAAAAGTGTTTCAGTCAACAGAAAATCACATGCAAGCTTGCATGGAAATAAAATAGAAATAAAAAAATATTGGTTAATGCCTTAAAAATTACAGAAACTTTTAGGAAAAAGATTATGATGGCTACAAGTGTTTTCTGCTAAAAAATTCCAAGCTAAACCATGCGAAAGTCATAGTACCACAAGCATTTATTTTCACCTTTTCATGGAGTCAGTGCCTGAAACAGTAAAAATAATCATTTTACCTCCCCTTTACGGCAAACAATCCTTATAGTAAACAGAATCTAACTCAATGCACGAATGCACAGTTTAAAAATAAACACTAATATACCTTGTCAAAAGGAATTCCATAATTTTTCAATACTGATGGAGAAATTAGAGTCATCTTGTGGCGAAGAAAAGCATCACACCCTTGAGAGCTGCTTGGAAAGAACCCTAATAAGACAAGATAAGCAAAATATAGTATCTTTTAATTAAGACAAGTAGGAAATTTTTGTAATATTTTTCAATATGTAATACTGTTTAAACTTGGTTTAGAATTTTTTATTGTATCATTGCTAGGTTCTGAGAGATTTGTATAAAATCAAATGTACCTCCTAAGTTTTTCAACTGATTTTCAGGGGGAGAGGTTGCAGAGGGTTGGGATTTGTTTGTTAAGAAGCAAAATAATTTAAAATCAATTGTGACCTGTAAATTTAGGCACACTTTTCTTACCCTTTACAGAAATGCTTTTTTTTTTTTTTTACGTTAATGTTCATTCTGCAACCCCTGCACACATGAAAATCAACTCCTGTACATAAACGTAGAAGGATTCCACAAGGACTAGGTTTACCTAGCACTTCTAGACCATCTATATAGTAAACAAACATCACTTTCTACCTAGAAAAGGCTAGAATGTATGGTTATTTTCACAGAGATATCTGGTACAACTGAAAACAGGTGAGCTTTTTATGCCTCTTTACGTGTCTTTACGTGTCTTTTGTTGGAGCCAAGAGGAATAGTTTCAACTGTGTTATAATGCAACATTACAGAAGTCTCACAAAGTTACAGCACTAACATCAGCAGAACCAGATTGGCAAAGGGGAACAATTTACTCATTCATCAGCAAAGATAAAAGTCTTTGCTATCATCATTATTATAAAAAATATTACTATTATTCATCTTTAGAGTCTTTTTAGTGTTTGTACTAGAACATTAGCAAGAATCACCATGAGATGTACTATAAGTAACTGCAATCCATACATTCAGCAGTCCTAGATAACACGTAATTTTACTGTATCAAGAACACAAGTAATCCCCTTCTGTGGAGTTCAACTTCATTTATTTATTTCACTTTCTTCTGTAGAGTGTATTTTTTAATGTTACCAAGATTTCTTAACATCAACAGTTTACTATGTTGTATGTCACTTATTCTCAAGAGATTTCAGAGATTCGACAACGACTGGCAGGCTACTGCTAAAAAAAAAAAAAAGGTATTTAAAAAGTGATTGTTTTTAATAGTTATTACTTCAAAGAAAACAGAACTGAGGCATAAACCAGTTCACCATCTCTAGCAGTTCATAGGAAAAATACCAAGCAAACAAGAAATTGAGACAAGAAGTGCTGGCTCCTTCTCTTAGACTTCAAGTTCTTACTGCTAGGTATACAGTTTCATCACAGTGCTCTCTTAAAACATATGGGACGAAAAGAGGAATTCTAAGTTTTTAAACTAGTATGAATTGGCCTTACTCTACTGTAAAAAAAAAAAAAGTCTATGATAATGACATTGAGTAAAAAAGGTTTCTCCAAAATAATTTTTATTTCTATCATAAACCTAGATAAAATTTATATGATAAGAAAATCTAAATATAAAGCCGTTTTAAAATTATAACTTTTTTTGGGGGCCGGGGAGGAGGGGGGGAGGTACAAGGAAAACATATGTAATCCTATCCTGTTACACAGGAGAACCACCTGAGAAACATGGACAGAAACAAAAGTGAAGCAAACAGTATTAAAAAAAAAAAGTATATTTTACCAATGATCTTGCATAGTAACTTGATACTGGAGAATATACAGTGCCAGCTCTTCATGATGAAAAAGTCTCCTTAATGACAGTATTGATATTGATACAGAAAATATACTTTTGATTCATTAACGCATAGAATTGTATTTTATGCCTGAAGAACACAAAAGATGCTTGAGAGAGATCCCAATTGCTAGATTATCAAGGATTACCCAAGGTGTAAATGTTTTGCCATAACGAAGATGTTAACCACGAACACCACTCAATTATTTTCCCAACTGAATTCTAACTTTTGCTGGAAAAGCCTAGTACTTGTATGAAAGCACTAATAAGAGGTCACCCAAGAAAAATATAGGAAAAAAGTTTAAAAAATGACTAGACAAATTATATAAAAATATTGTTTAGCAGACACAAAATTAGCCACAGGACATTTAACTAGTAAAAGGGCTTTCTGAAATCTCTTTACCATGTTTGCACCACTTGTTGCATCCTTCTCACGCAAACAGAATCGTAGAATTGTTTGAGCTGGAAAGGACCTTCAAGATCACCTGGTTCCAACCCCCCTGCCATGGGCAAGGACACTCTCCACTACACCAGGTTGCCCAAAGCCTCATCCAACCCGTCCTTGCCTCCGAGGAGGGGGGCAGCCACAACTTCTCCGGGAAACCTGTTCCAGTGCCTCACCACCCCCACAGTGAAGAATTTCTTCCTTAGATCTAACCTAAATCTCCCCTCTTTCAGTTTAAAGCCATTGCCCCTTGTCCTATCACTACACGCCCTTGTCAAAAGCCCCTCTCCAGCTTTCCTGTAGCCCCTTTAGGTACTGGAAAGCTGCTATAAGATCACCCCGGAGCCTTCTCTTCTCCAGGCTGAACAGCCCCAACTCTCCCAGCCTGTCTCCATAGCAGAGGTGCTCCAGCCCTCGGATCATCTCCGTGGCCTCCTCTGGACTCGTTCCAGCAGCTCCATGTCCTTCTTGTGCTGGGGACTCCAGAGCTGAACGCAGCACTGCAGGTCAGGTCTCAGGAGAGCAGAGCAGAGGGGCAGAATCCCCTCCCTCGCCCTGCTGCCCACGCTGCTCTGGGTGCAGCCCAGGACACGGTTGGCTTTCTGGGCTGCCAGCTCATGTTGAGCTTCTCACCCACCAACACTCCCAAGTCCTTTTCCTCAGGGCTGCTCTCAATCCACTCTCCACCCAGCCTGTGCTTGAGCTTGGGATTGCCCCAACCCACATGCAGGACCTTGCACTTGGCCTTGTTGAACTTCATGAGGTTCTCACAGGCCCACCTCTCCAGCCTGTCGAGGTCCCTCCGGATGATGTCAGCTGGTCTTCCCTTACCCACCAACACTGTAACTCCATGTCCTAGTTTGGCTGGGATAGAGTCAACTTTTTCACGGGAGGCCAAGAGGGGACACAGCGCAGGCAGGTGACCCAGCCTGGCCAAGGGGCTACTCGATATCACGGGATGCCATGCTCAGAGTGTATATTGGAGAAGCTAGCTGGGGCACAGGTGTTCACTTCACGAGTGAGGAGCTGGCTGAGGACCTGGTTCCACGTGGTGAGCCACTGATGCACGCGGTTTGTATTGTTCTGGTACTAGTGTTATTGCAGTTGCTATCCCTTCTCAGTTTTCTTGTACTATCTTTTTAAATTGTCCTTACTCCTATCCACCAGTTTTGCACTTCTCTCCCGATTTTCTCCTCCCCATCCCACTGAGGGGGAGGAGAGCGCGAGCAGCAGCGTGGTAGCTTAGCTGCTCACTGGGCTAAACCACGACACCCCACCGTACAAGGCCACCAAATTAGTCAGGCAGGATTTGCCCTCAGTGAAGCCATGTTGGCTGTCACCAATCACCTCCTTATTTTCCATGTGCCTTAGCATAGTGGCCAGGAGGATCTGCTCCATGATCTTGCCGGGCACAGAGGTGAGAATGACTGGCCTACAGTTCCCTGGGTCTTCTTTTTTTCCCTTTTTAAAGATGGGGGCTGTGTTTGCCCTTTTCCACTCAGTGGGAACTTCACCAGATTGCCACAACTTCTGAAATATGATGGATAGTGGCTTAGCAACTTCATCTGCCAGTTCTCTCAGGACCCGCGGATGCACCTCGTCTGGTCCCATGGACTTGTCCACCTTCAGGTTCTTTAGATGGTCTCGAACCTGATCTCCTACAGTGGGCGGTTCTTCATTCTCCCAGTCCCTGCCTTTGCCTTCTGTAACTTGGGCTGTGCCACTGGAGCTCTTGCCAGTGAAGACTGAGGCAAAGAAGTCATTGAGAACCTCAGCTTTCTCCATATCCCGAGTAGCCAGGTCCCCTGTTTCCTTACGGAGAGGGCCCACATTTTCCCTAGATCTCCTTTTATCACTGACATACCTATTGAAGCTTTTAGTCTTTCCCTTGATGTCCCTGGCCAGATTTAACTCTATCAGGGCTTTAGCTTTCCTAACCTGATCCCTGGCTGCTCACACAATTTCTCGGTATTCATCCCAGGCTGCCTGTTCTTGCTCCCACCCTCTGTGAGCTTCCCTTTTGTGCTGCTGTTTGTCTAGGAGCTCCTTGTTCATCCATGCAGGCCTCCTGGCGTTTTTGCCTGACTTCCTCTGTGTTGAGATGCATGGCTCCAGAGCTTGGAGGAGTTGATCCTTGAATATTAACCAGCTTTCTTGGGCCCCTCTTCCCTCCAGGGCTTATTCCATGGTACGCTACCAAGCAGATGCCTGAAGAGGCCAAAGTCTCCTCTCCTGTAGTCTATGGTAGTGAGTTTGCTCTGCTCCCTCCTTGCCGCCCTAAGGATTTTCAACTCCACCATTTCATGGCCATTGCAGCCAAGGCTGTTCTTGAGCTTCACATTCCCCACCAGCCCCTCCTTGTTGGTGAGATGACGGTCCAGCACAGCATGTCTCCTTGGTGGCTCCTCTATCACTTGGAGAAGGAAGTTACAGTCAACACATGCCAGGAACCTCCTGGATTGCTTCTGCCCTGCTGTGTTGTGCCTCCAACAGATCTCAGGGTGGCTGAAGTCTCCCACGAGGACCAGGGCTCGTGAATGTGAGGCTGCTCCTGTCTGTCTTTAGAGGGCCTCATCTGCTCAGTCTTCCTGGTTATGTGGCCTGTGGCAGCCCCTCAATATAATGTCACCTGTCCCTGCCCTCCCTTTAATCCTGACCCATAAGCTCTCAGTTGGCTCCTCACCCATCCCCAGGCACAGCTCCATGCACTCCAGCTGGTCTTTGACACAGAGGGCAACGCCTCCTCATGTCTGCCCTGCCCTAATCCTTCCTAATGTTCATTTGTCATTCAAGGAAGCAGTTTCACTCACAGAGCAACATGCTCACTACTCAATTATTAAGAAAAAAAATAATCACTTTTAATCAATTATCCACCTTAAAAAAAAAAAAAAGATGAGATCTTAACAATTTTAATCACTTTTAATC